TGCTTATCGGCTGATGGCACCTTTCCTGCAAGTAACATAAATCCCCATATGCCCCAAAATTTAACTTGGGTAATCACCAACACTGCCACGGGAATGGTCATCAACTCTACCTCCAAGACAGCCTCTCCCAACACTTGGTACCCTGACCTTTGGGTTGACCTCTGTGACATCTTTGAAGGAGAATGGGAAGCTCACGACCAGACCCCCTCTGCTCCCGTCGGCTGCCGAGACCCCGGCCCCAGATCACACATGCGAAGCCTCGCCATCTACATTTGTCCAGGCCACGGACGCAGCAGACAAGCTAAGAACAAATGTGGGGGACCTGGGGATTATTATTGCACCAACTGGGGCTGTGCGACCACCGGCACATACTGGTGGAAAGGGTCATCAACTGGGGATCTAATAACCCTACAACGGGCCCCCAGATCTACCACCCTGGGATGGGGAGGGACCACTGGAGGAGGTATGGGGGTCCCCCGCGCCCAACCATGGTGCAACCCCCTCATAATTCGGTTCACTGAGAAAGGAAAACAGTCTATGGGGTGGGATGTAGTACACACATGGGGCCTACGGCTATACGCTGCAGGGAGAGACCCTGGGGTCCTCTTTACCATTCAACTCCTCCTCCGACCGGTTGTCCATGCACTGGGACCCAACCGAGTCCTAAATCCCGAACCCCAGATGATTCTCATAAATCTTCTCCAGCTAAACTCCCTCCTGGACCTCCCACTGCCCAAACCTATACTCTGGCGCCAACAACTCAAGCTCTTGAGTCCTCAAGGGCAGATCCTATTCCTCCCCCTCCTGCCACTACTCCAACCCAGGAAATTCTTTTGCAGATGCAAAATTCATCTTATTATTTCCTCAATGCAACCAACCTGAACGCTACCTGCTCTTGCTGGCTCTGCTATGGTGTTGCCCCCCCATATTATGAGGGAATTGCTGTACAAGGAACGTCTCCTTCATGGATTACACAGAATGCAGATAGCTATCAAATGTTTCTCTTACCCTATCTCAGGTAACTGGCATTGGGACCTGTGTTGGCCAGGTCCCACCGGCCTATACAAGCCTCTGCAACACTGCCCTCACCCTTAATGTCATGGGGAGGGGGAAGTTCCTCCTGCCTCACAATCACATCTGGTGGGCCTGCACCATGGGACTAACAGCATGTGTAAATCAGGAAGTCCTGCAGAGAACATCTGGTTTCTGTGTTATTATCAGACTCCTGCCTAGAATCACCTACCACACTCATGAAGATTTCTTAACCCTCTATACTA